CAAGAAAATGTTCTAGCCGAAGCATCAGGGGAGAGACCAGCCGGCCCCCAGACCATATCGGCTAATCCCTTGCATCTCTGCCACGCACGGAATCGGTTGAAAGTATAATGTTAAAAAGTCTAGTCTATTCGGTGCATTGTTTTCACGGCTATTGTTATGCTGATCTACCTGGAACCGTGGTCCAGTGGAAAAAACTTGGGCTTCCGAGATACTGAGTCAAGCCGTGTGAGGAGGGTAAGTATTTGGATGGGTGACCTAAACATTATACCTACTCAAGGTTTTGCTTTTTTTTAATTTTAATTTTTAATTAAAATAAACTTTTTTAGAACCATACTGTCTTTTGGTCTTGGAAAAAGCCTCATATTTATCACATATCACCTTTCTCCTTAGGCTATATAAGCACCTTTCGAAATAGCCATATATATGAGTATCCACAAAAAAAAAATTAGTTGATCTTAAAGAAATAATCCTGTGTTAAGGATGGGATTACGAGAGGATTAGCAGGTATTTCTACGAGGTCATTTCTAATCCTTACCGAGATTACCATGCTTGTTGCGGTTATTTGTAGAAGTCGTCTGTTGTTGTTTTGTTTTGTTGCAGTCCTCGTCTTCTTGCATTAACCGAAGTGTTACATCGTCATGAATTTTCTGAGGAGAAAAAAAGGAAAAATRAGAAAAAGGAAAAAAAAGAAGAAAATAAATGGGACGGAAAGACATRAAGATAAAATTGATGCTAAGAAAAAATCAGTTGAAGATTAAGAAAATATAGGCGATAACAAATAAGCAAACAAACAAACAAACAAAAAACAAACAAACAAAACAACAAAACAAACAACAAAAAAACAACAAAAAACAAAAACAAAAACAAAAAAAAAACGAACGAACGAACAAACGGAACGAACGGAACGAACGGCAAGCTAGCTGGGTCCACCCTTAGCATGAGAATAAATTAAAGACAGAAGACTTGGTCGCATTCATTCTTTTCCTGTTTCTTTCTACAGATATTTATAGATATTTACGTGGAAACGACGAGACTGTTATACGAAGTAGACTATCTATCTTGACCTTCTTTAAGATAATTGACACTCAAACTTAATAGTATTCATACTGAAGCTTTTGTCGACAGATTTACAGCTGAAGGCCAAGGGAACAGAAAAGCCTTCTTGGTAAAAATTATCACATTGCTTTAGGTATTACAAATGGAATGATAAAAATGAGACAAACCTTGTCTGCTACTTGACCGAGATTTCCTCAAGGCGTCGACGAACACGTTATTCACGTGTATTTTATAAGTTTAGATAAGATATAAAGGATAAAAGTTAAAAATAAGCTCGAATGACAGCCATAAATTACAGTAGATTTAAAAATTTCTGGGAAATAAGGACTTGTTCAAGCCATCAGAAGTCGTTTAGGGTAAAAACCCTGTTTTTATCGAGTAGCTAACGCGACATTTGTGACTATTGTAGTCCGTACGTTGTGTTTCGATCCCTGGACCTTCGAATAATTTTTTTCCGAGGAATTTTTCAGTTTTCTCTCTTCTCAGATATAAACGATTCTAAATTCAGATAGTCCTCTTAGCCTCGGCCGCAATGTTTACCCATTTCAGACCACGTTTCATTCTCTTGAGAATGAGATTCTTTGTTTGAGTTGTATTCATATTCATGTGTCTTCTCATGTCTAACCATTAAACAAAGAAATGATGTTCTTGGCAAGTGTCTGAAATGGGGAAACACCACGACCAAGCTAAAGAGATCTAAAGAGATCTATTCTGTCCTAGATTCTGTCATACACTAGACAACAAAACGCGTCGGACAAAAGGCTTTTTTTCTGGAGTATCCCACGGGTATCGTCTTTCAGAAGTCCAAAATAAACATAACAAACGTGTATTTGAAATACTAAACCTCGTGYTTTAAATATCATTTAAAAAGAAAAGACAAAAATTTTCAAAATAATAGAGCATACACTTTAGAAAATGCTGTTGTTAGAAGAGTTCTGATTGGCTGGCTATYGAGTGTAAGACAAGCAATGATTGGTCTATCTGCGGTTCATTGCCAAGTTACATGTTATAATGGAGGACCGCGCCGTGAATGGAAGGGTGTCAATAGTGTAAATGGTGCCAATATTTTTTCCCGTATCTCAAGCGATTTTTATTCATTCGGTCAAAATCGAGCTACATCTGTCGCACTCAATAGTATTATAGAATTACATATATTAAAAAAATTTTTTATCACACTTGGTCAACAGTTATGAAACTCGGCAATAACTAACGGTTGAGAACAGATGTTTTGACAGACCGAACATTTGTAAATCGCGTGTAAAAGGATAAAACATTCTGATAGCTTATCAGTGACGAACGACACCAAAGTTTACGAAAACTTTTTCATGATTATTTTTTTACTGTTATCGTTATCGTTATCTCTATATTATATATTTTTATTCAATTTTTTTACTTCCTTTCTGTGCTATCTTTCTAATTTTCTTTTCATTTGTTTTATATGTTAATAAATGAAAGTGTTGCTCTAGAAAATCGAAAGAAAAAGCACTGGAACATCCATTCTCTGCACACAAAATATAATTCATCGATGATGAAAAGCAATAAAAGCATCTTGCTTGATAAAACACTCATTGGAGAGGTCGGTTAGAATTGAAAATTTCAKATCGTCTTCTGAAAATTTGATTCGRTAACCAAAAACAAACAACTGTTTGAAGATATATGATGTTTGAATTAAACGTATATGAATTAAACACACTAGTTGTTAAGCTATGAGGCGGACCTTTCTCTCAGCTGGATAACAGGTAATTACAAAGTCATGGTTAGTACGAATTGAATTATTTATTTTTTTCGTGGCTGATTTATATGTGGGAAAAGAACTTGGAGGTCGTTACTAATGTATTTGGAAGAAACTTGTGTACGACACATGCTGTTTGAAGAAATGAAAAAATTATAATGATAAATTAAGCTTAAATTATGCAATGTCGTTACGGAGTACTGGGGAAAAAATAAATTAAACGAAAACAAACGGAAGAGAGATTTGAGACAGAGAGAGAGA